TTATTTTGAGACAGGGTCTCACTGAATTGGTTAGGGCCTCACTGGGTTGCTGAGGCTGGCTTTGAACTTGAGATCCTCCCGCCTCAGCCTCCCAAATCACTGGGATTACAGGTGTGTGCCACTGTGCCAGGTCTAAAAATTTAAAGAAACACTTCCATGGCATAAAACTAAAAATAAATGCATTATAAATGGTTTTTAGGTTTTTTAAAAAAACTGTCCAACACACTGCAGTCTCAGCCCTCAGAAGGCTGAGGTGGGAGAACTGCTTGAGCTCAAGAGTTGAAAACCAGTCTAGGCAACATAGTGAGACTCTGCCTCAAAATAAAAACGAAAACAAATTCTCTGACATGTATTTTTTTCTCCTCAATTTAATTTTTCTTCTTGAATTGGATTTAACTTTTTTCTGACTACATATCTGATCATGTCATTGAAAATCTTATTTGACATAATTCCTTGTATCTTACAGATAATAATGGAAGGAAATTAGAAATCAACACAATAAAACACTGCAGAAACTATATAAACACAGAGAGATTGAACAATACACATCTGAGTGATGAATGGACGAGAAAGTAAATTGAGGGAGAAATTGAAGAATTCCTAGACTCAAATGAGAATAGTGACACAACATACCAGAACCTCTGGAACACCATGAAGGCAGTTCTAAGAGTAATGTCTATAGCTGTAAGTGCCTACATAAAATCTGAATCCTCCATAAACAATCTAATAAGCATGTCAAAGCCCTTTAAAAGAGGAATAAACCATTTGCAAACCAGTAGAAGGAAGGAAGGAAGGAATATCAGAGCTGAAATCAATGAACTTGAGAGTAAAAACATAATACAAAGGGTCAATGAAACAATGAGCTGTCTCTTTGAAAAGATGAACAATATCCTTTAGCCAAACTAACCGAGAGCAAAAGAAGACTCAAATTAATAAAATTGAGATGAAAAAGGAGAAATCACTACAGGCATCACAGAAATTCAGTGGATCGTTAGGGACTATTTTGAAAACCTATTCTCCAATAAACTGGAAAATCTAGAAGAAATGCATACATTTCTAGAGACATGATCTGCCTTGATGTGTCCTCATCTGTTTTTGTTCCTCTTTTAAAGGGCTTTGACATGCTTATTAGGTTGTTTATGGAGGATTCAGATTTTATGTAGGTACTTATAGCTATAGACATTACTCTTAGAACTGCCTTCATGGTGTTCCAGAGGTTCTGGTATGTTGTGTCACTATTCTCATTTGAGTCTAGGAATTCTTCAATGATCTGCCAAAATTGAATCAAGAGGACACAGAAAACCTACACAGATCAATAACTTATAATGAGACAGAAGCAGTAATAAAAATCCTTGCAATAAAGAAAAGCCCAGAGCCAGTTGGATTCTTAGCCGAATTCTACCAGACCTTTAAAGAAGAACTGTTGCCAGTACTCCTCAAATTATTCCATGAAGTGGAAAGGGATGGGACACTTCCAAATTCATCCTATGAAGCCAGTATCACACTCATAACAAAACCAGATGAGGACACATCAAGGAAAGAGAACTAAAGACCAATATCCCTGATGAACTTAGATGCAAAAATATTTAACAAAATATTAATAAATCATATTCAACAACATATTAAGAAGATTGTACATCTTTACCAAGTTGGTTTTATTCCAGAGATGCAAGAATGTTTTAACGTTTGCAAATCAATAAATGTAACTGATCACATAAATAGAGTTAAGGACAAAATCACTTAGTCATCTCAATAGATGCAGAGAATACTTTGGCAAAATTCAGCACCCATTCATGATAAAAGCACTGAAGAAACTGGGGATAGAAGGAACCTACTTTAACATCATATATGAAAAACCCAAAGCCAACTTCATAGTAAATGGGGGAAAATGAAAGCAATTCCTTTAACAAGACAAGGATGTCCATTCTCACCACTCCTATTTAATATACTGCTAGAAATTCTAGTCAGAGTAAATAAAATAGAAAAGGAAGAAATTAAATTATCACTGTCTGCAGATGATATGATCCTATACTTAGAAGATCCAAAAAAACTCCACCAAAAGACTGCTAGAGTTAATAAACAAATTTGTCAAAACATCAGGTTACAAAATCAGCATACAAAAATCAGCATCTTTCCTATATACCAATAGTGAATCTGCTGAAAAAGAAATCAGGAAAGCAATTGTATTCACAATAAACTAAAAAAATATATCTAGGAGGGGCTGAGGTTGTGGCTCAGTGGTAGAGCCCTTACCTAGCATGTGTGAGGGCCTGGGTTCAATCCTCAGCACCACATAAAAGTAAATATATATAATAAAGGTACTGTGTCCAACTACAACTAAAAGATTTTAAAATATATATATATATATATGAATAAATCTAACCAAGGAGGTGAAAGACTTCTCCAATGAAAACTGAAAACAGTGAAGAAAGAAATTGAAGAAGACACAAGAAGATGGAATTACCTCCCGTGTTAATACATAGGTTGAATTAATATTGTTAAAATGGCATGATACTACCAAAAGCAATATACAGATTTAATTCAGTCCCTATCAAAACACAAATGTCAAATGTCATTCTTCATAGAACTAGCAAAAAAAAAAGTCCTAAAATTTATTTTGAAAAATAAAAGACCCAGAATAGACAAAGCAAATCTAAGTCAAAAAGCAATGCTGGAGGTATCACAATACCTGACTTCAAATTATATTATAGAATGATAGTAACAAAAACTGCATAGTACTGGCATAACAGACCAGCCCAATGGTATAGAATAGAAGACACTGAGATAAGCCCACACATCTACAGTGTTCTAATCTTTAAGAAAGTTTCCAAAAGCATACCTTGGAGAAAAGATAGCCTTTTAAATTTTTTTAAAAGACAGAATTTTAATAAATGGTGCTTGGAACACTAGTTAGCCTTATATCGAAGGATGAAACTAGACCCTAATGTACCCTGCACAAAAATCAACTTAAAATAGATCAAAGACCTAGGAATTAGACCAGAAACTATGCCACTTCTAGAAGCAAACGTTAGGTTAACAATCCAGCATAATAGGCACAGGCAAAAACTTTTTCAGTAAAACTCCTAAAACTCAGGAAATAATGCCAAGAGTTAATGAAAGGGTTAATTTAATCAAAGTAAAAAGCTTCTGCATATCAAAGGAATTAGGAATGTGACAAGAGAATTTATAAGAATCAGAGAAAATCTTTGCTAGCAACTCTTGTGACAGATAATTAATATTCAGAATATATAAAGAACTCAAAACACTTTACACCAAAAAATCAAATAACCTAATGAATAAATAGGGAAATTAATTAAACAGGCACTTCTTAAAGAAGAAATATAAATGTACAACAAATATATGGAAAAAAGTTCAACATTATTAACAATTAGAGAAATGCAAATTAAAACTACACTGAGATTTCATCTCACTCCAGTTTGAATGGCAATCATCAAGAATATAAGCAATAATAAATGCTGGAGACAATGTGGAGAGAAAAGAACACTTTTACCCTGCTCGTGACACCATAAATGAGTACAAACAGTATGGAAATCAGCACGAAGATTCCGCAAAAGACTAGGTATGGGGCTGGGGTTGTGGCTCAGTGGTACAGCCCTTATCTAGCTCATGCGTGGTGCTGGGTTCTATCCTCAGCACCATATGAAAAATAAATAAAATAAAATAAAAGCATATATATATTTGGTGCTGATGACGCCAAGGTCGCGGGTTCGATTCCCGTACGGGCCACCAAATGCCGCAGTCTGGCTGGGCACAATTCAGGAGCCACTTGTCAAAGGAAACTAACTTTATTTTTAGAACTATAAAACTATAGAACTATAAAAGCCAAGCAAAACAGCTCCTCAGGATAAAACCCTCAGAGCCCAACTGCCACCACCGGCTTCCACAAGCCTCTCACCCACACAAGCCTCTCCACCTCCCACAATATATATGCTTTTATATATATATAAATATATATGCTTATATATATAAAAATATAAAAAGCCTAGGTATGGAACCATCATATGACCCAACTGTACCACTCCTCCATATTTGATGCCTACCCACGTTTATACCAAGTAGCACAATTTACAGTATCCAAACTATGGAACCAGCCTAGATGTCCACGAGTAGATGAATGAATAAAGAAAATTTATTTACACAATAGGGTTTAAGTCAATCATAAAGAAAAATAAAATCATGTCATTTGCAGGAAAATGGATGGAACTAGAAGGTCAAGGATTATATGTTTTCTCTCCTCTGCAAAAGCTAGAGAGGAAAAAGGAAAAAAAAAAAGGTGGAGGCAGATCACATGAAAGTCAAAGGGCGATCAGTAGAGGAAAGAGACCAGGAGTAGATAATAGTATTGAGGGAGGGGGTAAAGGGCTGGGGAGTGATAGTGGCCAAATTATATTGTTATAGTGTGTGCACATACGAATATGTAACAACAAAATCCCATCATTATGTATTATAATGAGCCAATAAAAATGTTGGAAAAAAAGACAAAAAAAATCTTGATTGCTGAATGCATGACAGAAAAAGATGATCTGTTAGCTTAAGGTAGATGTTGAATAATATTATCAAGCTATTAATGGAATGTAGAGTTGAGGAAGTAGAGAAATACTCTAGATGAAGATGTTTAACTCCACAGGACATTTAACCACCCTTTAACTCAACACCTATAAGCTAGTATTATTCAGGTTTTTCTCACTCCTACATTAACCTTGGCAAGCCAGTAACTTGGGGAACACTAATAAGAACTTCTAGTAAAGATGGCATCTTAACATAACTGATGTGTTCTAGTAGGCTTTTTGACCTAACCAGCAGGTACAAACGTACAAGATGCGGCCTACTACCTCCTCACTCTTCAGAAGGCTTGGTTTTCAGTCCATTTTCACAGCGGGGATTGCGAGCGCGCTTCTGGAGGGTGCCGCCAGGCGGCGCTGTTCAAAAGCCGCTTCACTAACAAGCATCTCCGGCGCTTTTACCCTCCTCTCTCTTGTTCCAGCTTCCGCCGGAAGCAGACCCCGTCTGTTGTCCTCCGGTAGTTTGGGTTGTTTGTAGTGAGTGTACGGCGGCGGGCAGTCTGAGGTTAGGTCCCAGGGGGTGGAGAGGGGATCTGGAGCTTAACCCCGAGCAGCGAGATGGACATTTTGAGATCAGAGATTTCCCGGAAGCGGCAGCTGGTGGAAGAGAGAAACCTGTTGGTGGTAAGGGTCCTTGTGGTTGTGGGGACTGAGGGTCGAAGAATGGTGTATTTGTGTGTCAGGGGATGCCGCGGTGCGAGCATTTAGGGCAGACATGGGGCTGGGCGACAGTCCTGCCTCTGTCCCGGAAGGCCCTTTCTAGATTCATCCTTGGGTCCCTTTCTGGGGAATCTTCATGGATGGAAGTGTGAGAATTTCAGGAAAACTCAAGGTGGTTTTTTTTTTTTTTGTTGTTGCTGTTGTTTCGACTTTCCCCTTTTTTCCTGCCTTCTTTCCCCCAGCAGTTTACTTAGGTAAACAACCCGCTCTGACCCACTCCCATCTGTCGATACTCTGTGGATCTACCTCAGTTCCGAGAGTTGACTTCTGTCGTTTAAGGGTTTGTGCCCTGCTGAAACAGGAAGGACAGATCCCATCTTCGAACGTTCCTTCCTATTAAACTCAATCTTTTTGTTTCCCCATCTTTCCTCTTCCCCAACACGTACAAAGTTTATGGGTCTGCTCTTCATGGAATGGAAAGCTAAGATTTTTTTGGAGAGGTACTAAAAAAAGGAGAAAGAACACCTAATTTAGGAACCTCCTTAAATTGTTCTCCTTTCCTTTATTGCATAACAGTAATTAGGTCACCAGTTTTCAAAGCTTTTGGTCTCAGGACCTCTTCATACTCTTTAAGTTATTGAGGATGCCAGCTTTTGTTGATGTATCATATCTATTAGTATTTACCAAATTTTAAAAGTAAAATTGAGAAACTTGACACATTTCATTATACAGCATAAAAGTTGTATTATTTAATATCTGCTGATCTAATGTGGTTTCTTTAAGCACTAGGAAACCGTCAAGCTCATGATGGCAGGCCCAAGTCCTCCACACTTTTAATTTTTGCTTGAAAGCTGGAATTTCATCACAGCCAACAAATACTACTAGTTTTTTTTTCTTAAAGTGATGGGTTCCTGGTGTTAAGTTTTAGGAAGTTGTCTGACAAATATTCAAGTCTGGATAATTATGGTTTGTCAGTATTTGTGTATGACAAAATGGTATTAAGAAGAAGAACACTCATTTAGTTTACAGCTTGATTGTTTGATTGCTTTTCCACCAGATAACCATCATACTTCGGTAAAAAGGAAAAATTATTTTTGTATACTTTGTTTTGTCATACAGGATGTGAAAAAAAGTCAAGGATTAATGCCTAGTAAAATTAAAAATTTTGCTGTAGGTTGAGCATTCTTAATCCTAAATCTGAAATCCTCCAGAATCCAACACTTTTTGAGCGCAGACATTATACCACAAGAGGAAAATTCCACACTTGACCTCAGTGGAATTTTCAAAGCATAGGCACGCTAAAAACATCATATAAAATTACCTTCAGGTTTTATGTGTGAAGTGTGTATAAAACATATGTGAATTTTGTGTTTAAATTTGGGTTCCATCCCCAAGATACCTTGTTATGTATGTGCAAATATTCCAGAATTCAAAAAAATCTGAAATCCAAAACACTTTCAAGCATTTAAATAAGAGATGTTCAACTTGTACTTCATCAAGGAGATTCAGAAGTAAAACTGGCTCCCTCCAAATACAAAAGTTTTGTGCCACTGCCTTGATTATTTCTAAGGCTGTGGCCAGCTTCACCATGCTTTTCCCCTACAGTGCAGATGTCAACAGAGTAAATAGACTATTTTGGGGGGGAGTGGTACTGGGGATTGAACTGAGGGTCACTCTATCACTGAGCCACATCTTCAGCCCTAATTTTATATTTTTTAAATTTTAAGACAAGTTCTCACTGAGTTGTTTAGCACCTTGCTTTTTCTGAGGCTGGCTTTGAACTCTTGATCCTCCTGCCTCAGCCTCCCAAGCCGCTAGGATTACAGTTGTGCTCTACTGTGCCTGTCCCTAACTATCTTTTGATCATAAAAACTATCTTTTAGTTTTGATAGATCCCAATTTGCCAGTTTGTTTGTTGGTTTGTTTGGGTCTTTTTGAAATGTAGTATTATTCTGTTGCCCAGACTGGTCTCAAACCCCTAGGCTTAAATGATCCTTGCACCTCAGCTTCCAGAGTTCTGGAACTATAGATGTATGCCACCACTCCAGGCTCTCCAATATGTTGGCTTATCATTTTCTGTGACTTGTCTGGGAATTTAAAATAATATAATCAGTTGGAAAACCATTTGGCAGTTTTTTGAGAATTAAACTTACACCTAATGATATCCTCCCACCATTCCACCTCCAAATACTCAAAGAGTAAATTGTAAAACTATCTCCTTATATCATCTTCTAAAAGTTTATAGTTTATCTTTTATAAAAAAACTAGGAGTTTCTAAAAATTCGAATCAGTTTTTTTTTTTGTATGTTGCAGAATAGGGGTTGTAGTTTGCTGATTTTCTTATGGATATCCAGTTCACTATTTACTGAAAGTATTTTTCCCTTTGTATAGTTGTAGTATCTTTATCAAAAATCAGACAGTTGTGTAAGTGTGGCTTCATTCTGGGTGCTGTGTTCTTTTCCAGTGACATGTTTGCTGATCCTTATGCCTGTGCCACTCTCTGTGATCACTGTAGCATCCTGATAAGTCTTAAAGTCAGATAATATAAATAATATCACCACCACTACTGGTTGTTATTCTCTTCCTTCTCTCCGTTTTCTTACCCTCCCTCAGCCCCTTTCTCACTGTTGCCCATCATTCTTATAATTCTTCTTATTTGTGGAATTTTATTTATTTTTTAAGCTTTGGCATACTAAACACTATATGTCCTGGGTTTTGTTTTTGTTTTGGATGGGATGCTGGAGGTCCAATTCAGGTCCTTGTGCATGCTACGCAAGCTCTATACCACAGAGTTACACCCTCAACCCACACTGTATGTAGAGTGTACAGTTGAGTTTTGACCTGTGTTCAGCGAAACTGTCTGCAGAATGAAGAGAGTGAACATACCAATCTCACCCAAAGGTCTTTTTATGCCTCTTCATAATCCCTCCTCCTTGTCTTTCCCTGCATTCTGTCACAGGCAGCCACTGACCTGCTATTGGTTACTTCAGGTAGATTACATTTTTCTAGAATTTTATGTAAGCAGAATCATTTGGTTTGTTCTCTGCTTGGTTGTCTTCTTTTCTTGAACTTGTTTTATTTTTTATTTTCTCAAGATTTTTCACTGACATCACTGAAAAAATACATTGCATGGCTTATAGGATTTTCTAACACTTTATGATTCTTTCACTTTGAGAAGCATTGTGTCTCTTTAAATTGTATGCCCTCCTGTTTAATGTATTACTTCAGACTCTTAAGGTTTGTGTCACGCTAACAAGATGTTGACTTGCCTCATGGTTTGTGATCTCACACATACTGTTTTGCATTGGGTATTAGGCTCTATAGTTGTAAATCCTAGTGCCTTTTGCCTTTTTGCAGAGGTTTTTTTTTTTTTTTGGTACAGGATATTGAACCCAGGGGCACTTAACCACTGAGCCACAGCCTCAGCCCCCCCCACCTTTTTTTTAGTTGTAGTTGGACAAAATACCTCTATTTTTAAATTTTATTTTATTTTTAAAGTTTATTTGTTAGGTGTAGATGGACACAACACAATGCCTTTATTTTTATGTGGTGCTGAGAATCGAACCCAGGACCTCACCCATGCTAGGCGAGTGCTCCACCACTGAGCCACAACCCCAGCCCCCTCAGCCCTTTTTTATATTTTATTTAGAGACAGGGTCTCACTGAGTTGCTTAGGGCCTTGCTAAGTTGCTGAGGCTCCTGCCTTAGCCTCCCAAGCCTCTGGGATTATAGGTATGCACCACCGCACCTGGCTTTTACAAGGCTTTTGTTAATATTTGTATCCATTTATATAAACATGATTTTAACATAATTGGAGGGATGGTAATTCTAAATTCATGTTGTTTGCATATTATTTTTGACATTTGATAACCTTGTTTAGTGAAGACAGACATTTCAGGTGATGTGGTAGGAAGGTGTGTGCACTTTAGACTTGTGAATCTTTAGTTTTATAATCTAGAAAGTACAACTCAGACAAAGTGCAAGAATCTTTGAAAAGCAGCAGGTAGGGGTCTATGGATGACATTTTGAGACATTCTAGTCTTAAGCTTTTGTTAGGGGTATTCAATGGAATGGAGACATGATAGTCAGAGGTAACATAATTGGACTTGGGCTCTGGCCTTGGCATTCCTTTTATTTCTTATATAGATATATCAACTCTTCCTGAAAGGATGCTAATAGGTGTTTGCCAGCTTACCTATTTGGAATGTAATATTTACATACTACATAGTTAAAAGGAACAATCTAAAATACTGAATTTTTAGAGGGACTAATTAGCTAGGAAAACTAGATAAGTACAAAGGATTTAAGGACCAGAGTTCTAGTCCTGGCTCTGTTACTCATCAGATCTTTTAAGTTCTTGAAATGTTATAACCTTTCCTAATTCTCAACTTTCTCATCTCTAAAAGGGGATTAATATCATTTGCTCACATTTTTGTCATGGTAGTTTGATAATTAGATGATGTCATCTATTCCTTGCCACAGTAACATCTTCATCTTTGTGTCTGAAGGGGGTGTGCTTGGTGTATGGTAGGTAAGTGTGTTGGTGTTTATTGAGTTAATGAATGAACTTGTAAACTTTATTTTATTTAAACTTTCACAAAAATTGAATTGTATAATGAACTTGTATACCCTTCCCCTAGTACTTGTAACTCTAAAAATTAGACATATTTTTATATCACCAAAATATGATCACATCTAACAAAATTAAAATAGATTCCTTAAGCTGTATCAAATTCATATTAACATATCCCCAGTCAAAATTATATATATATATATATATGGTATATATATGCCATAATTAGTGTTTGTTTCTGTTAAGTGAAAATAATTAAAACATACCATTTTCTGTGATTAATAATGAATCCATTTGTATACATTATCTTTGAATTTATATTTATCTTAGCAAATATTTTGTAATATTTTAGCAAATATTATAAAATATTTTAGAAAATTAAATTTTAAAATGGAACATTTGGAAAGTATTATTGATTTCTATGCTGTTGTACACACTTATTAAAATGACAATGCAAGAAAAGTTTAAATATTCATCACATATCAATATCCAGAGAAGTAGCATGTTTCAGGGACTCAATGTGATCATATTGAGAACCAAAAAGTACTTTCAAATTCTTGAGCAACTGAAGAATATTTTTAAAAGTTTTCTAAAAGCACTTGATAACTGTGGAATATGAAATTTTGCTCAAGGATTTATTATTAACTTATTTTTTTCTTTGATAGGAAAATAAAAAATATTTCAGACGTAGTGAACTTGTGAAAAAAGAGGAGGAGGCATATTTTGAAAGATGCGGCTACAAGGTATGAATGTGAGCTTTTATATTAAATTGTAAATTTCTGCGTTTAAATTTATATAGCTATTGTTAAATGACAAAATTATTGATCTCTGTTCAATTTATCAATGTTACACATTAGCCTATAAGTGAGAAGCCATCTGGAGAGGTATGAGTTTTTGTTTTTGTTTTGCTTTTAAAAAAAAATTCTTGAATTTAGGAAAATATATGCATGACTTTTGGCTCGGAATGGTTTGGCTTTTTGTGGACAGCATGAAGTGGCTTGAGATCAAAGCTTGACCTTTTTTTAAAAATTAAGTCCTGGATCTGATGCTGCCTTATTTTCCTTTCCACCACCACTTCTCTCCCTCACCTCTCCCAATAAAACTGTATCTCAGAAGAGTCCAGTTCATTTTATTCCTTCAGCAACAGTGATATTAGCAGTGGCATTTCCCCTGCTTTCTCCTGCATATTTTCAGCCATTGATTATGTTTGCATTGTTAATAATTCCTTTTGGGCCCTTAGTAACTCTGCCTGAAATATAGCACCATGTATATGTATATGCTTTTATTGTAATAAATTATAACATTTCAGATACTGTTTAGTTTATTGAATAGAAAATGTAACTTTGAAATATTGTTTAGAAACAAATGAGTTGTCTGAAAGGCTTTTTTTGTATGTTTTGGAAGCATGACTGAAACTATTTTCAGATTACCTGTTGATAATGTGCTGGGGGTTTTATTGGGAGGGGTTAATGCTTATGAGGTGGAGAAATCGGGTTTAAGTTATTTTTTTATAACTCTATATCTTGTTTAATAATTTTAACTCAACAATTAAGAGATTCTATCAAAATACTATTTGAATCAACTTTTTGCTCATGAAACCTCAATATAAAATAATACTCTTGTGCATGTAATAGGGAAGGTTCTAGAAATTAGTTTATAAGGCATAGCCTTTCCAGAAGGAAGCATGAGGAATGAAAATGTTATGTATATGCATTTGGCTTTATTTTGTAAGGTTGGAAAGGCACGTATTAAAGAAAAATATAGTTAATATTTTTAAAGGCTTTTTATATATAAAAGCTTATATTTGCATCTTGATCATTTCCTATAAACATACTGATTTACTTCTAGTTTAGGAAATTAAGATAAGTTCTGTGTAAATAATTATTGTATCCAATTGAGAAAGATGATTTCTCAGTTCCCAGATCTCTAAATTTGAACTTTTTTAACTTCTTGATAAGGTAGGAAAAAAATTAAGAAAGTGGCAGTTTTTGCTTTGCATAGATTTTCTCAGTGCTGTGGGAGGGCTTTTTTGCTTACATTGAAGAAAGCAAGCGCTGAAGTGAAATAAATACTGTAAAGATATTAGTTGTAACTTTGAGTCTAGCTGACAAAATGTCTTAGCTCTTTTCCCCAGAGCTATAAATGGCCATTATATAATTTAAAATGCTTTTAGTCCTGAGGGTTTTGAAAAACACCTATTGATATGCTTAAGAAGAAATCATAGATTTTTGTTTTTGAAGATATTTTTAATAGCTCCTTCTTGGTAGTAGTGACGATATAGTATCCATTGCTTTTTTTCCCTTTATAGAAACTAATTACAATTTTTTTAAGGCTTGGTCCTGATTTGTCTTGTGAAAATATGAAAGTTTAGTCTTTTACCTCAGTATCAACTAGGATGAGTCCAGCCTTTAGCCATAAACTACAAGATCATTTATTACATAATTAAAAAAAATTTTTGTGGGGGGTACTGGGGATTGAACTCAGGGGCTTTTGATCACTGAGCCCCAGCACCAGCTCTGTATTGTATTTTATGTAGAGACAGGGTCTCGCTTAGTTGCTTAGTGCCTCACCATTGCTGAGGCTGGCTTTGAACTCGCAATCTTCCTGTCTCAGCCTCCCAAGCCACTGGGATTATATGTGTGTGCCACTGTGCCTGGCTATTACATAATTTTTTACCATTAGAGCTTTTTAAAATTGAGTTTCTTTCTTAATAATTAATAATAATTGATGTTGATTTGCTTTTATGGTCCTTTGAATCTTACTCCCCCTTTCAGTATTGTAGATTTTCCTACAGTCAGTGTTTTAGATTTGTCTTCTGGTTAGATAGGAAACCGTGTTTCAACAGACCACACAGTGGGGCTTCTAAATTGCTTAACTCAGTTTTCTCAGTGATTTGGGCAGTATATTTGAAAAAAATGTGAGAGTCCTACCCCATTCCCCTTCAGGTTCATATGAACAAGAATGTCACTCTTTCCTTGGATGGCATGTATAGAATAGTGCCATTTTTCATTGTTTTTCTACAAGAATTTAGCTCAGTTTGTGGATCAGTTCTGCATCACCTTGGGAATTTTTCTACATGTCCAATAGTGATTTCTCTGCAGTTGGAATAATACCATTCAAAAGGCAAAATAGGAAAAAGCTAGAGCTTGAAGCTTCATAGTTTCTATTGGAAAGTAGTTCTCTTTAGTCTTTATTTTAAAGCTAAGCAACAATCAGGTAACTCTGAAGGACACTTTTCTCAAAGGTGAAGCAAATTGATTGTTACAAAGAAAAAAGTACTTTTTTTTAGAATTTGAAGAATGTAAATTTCAGCAACATGAGTTTTGATTTTGCAAATCATTATGGTTATGTTAGTTTTTTATACTAAGAATGCTGTCTCCCGTGTGCATGCTTTCTACTTGTGTTCCTGACATGGATTTGTTTGATAAGCTCTTAAAAGCATGTACATTTATTATGACTTCTTTCCTCAGAGAAACACTTAGAAAACCTTCAGTACTGAAACTTATTTAATGTCCATGAATAGCTAAGGTGATGGAATTATAAATGGTTAGCTGTGTTTTAAAAACTAAATTTCATCTCTTTTGGCTCTTAATATAGATACAGCCAAAAGAGGAGGACCAGAAACCATTAACTTCATCAAATCCAGTATTAGAACTTGAATTGGCAGAGGAAAAATTACCCATGACTCTTTCTAGGCAAGAGGTAAGTTTATATGAGTATTTTATGGGAACATTTTTTTCCACATGTTTACATGAGTTGTGTGTCATTATTTCTCATATAAGATGACTTACTGACCTAAAAGTCCTGTACAAGACAGTTTTCTTCATTAGATTGTAAATTAACCTCTGCTTCTTTTCTTAATAGTATTCTTACTTTTTTTAAAGAGCGTATCATAAACTTTGAATGATAAACACATTAAACATACTTACTAAGTTATAACTGAATTCATGTTTTCTAAATAATTATACTTAAATTATTTTTTTGTCTAAATTACTTTATTAATTGCTAACTGCCCTTACTTACTGGTACATCTTTCCAGGTTAAAATACAGTGATTTCTACAATTTTTAACGGCTTTGTAATTTCCCATTGTGTGCTTGCACAAAAATATTTTTAAAACAATTTCTTTCTTAATTGTCATTTTAGATTGCTTCAGCATTTCCCTATTATAAATAATACTGAAATGAACATTCTTGTACAGACATCATTGCAAGCATAATAATGTGTGATTATTTCCTTTGGAAAAGTTTCTGGAAGCATGATTTGTTTCTGAGGCAAAGACTGTATTTTAAGATTTTTTTAAATACATGTTTATCAAATAGTTTTTTAGATGTTAGATGTGTTATGCCAGTATTTATATTTTACCTGTAGTGTTTGCCCATATCCTGGTCAATAGCAACTATTACTTTACTTACAGAATAGAGATATTTGTGTGATTTAAAGAATTCAACTATAGAGAAGGTATAAAACAAAAATGTCTTTTCTTCTTCCTATCTTCTATCTTTCATACCCCCCCTCCAATCTGTTCTCAGTTCTGCTAGAGTCATTCACTTACACAGTCATCAGTATGCAATTGTACACTTTTTCTTCCCTTTCACACAAGTGAGATTATTTATATGCTTGTGTGCCTCGCTCTTTTCACTTAAAAATGTATTTTGAAGACTGTTGTATGTGTGCTTTTGTGTGTACATACTATATATGAAAGTTTTTACTTTGGGCAAGTTACTGAGACTTTCTGATTCCCTATTTTTTTTTCTTTTTTTTGTGTTGGTGGTGGATACTGGAAGTTAAGTCCAGGTGAGCTACATCCCCAGTCCTTTTTTATTTTTTATTTTGAGACGCAGTATCACTAATTTGCTTAGGAGTGTTGCTAATTGGCTTTGAACTTGGGATCCTCCTGTCTTAACTTCTCATGTAGCTGATATCCCTTTTCGTGTCTGTGTCAAAAAATTTTTTTTTGTATGCAAGTTTATTTAACAAATTAGAATAATGGAATTCTCACACTATCTTGAATTCAGATAGTTTATTACCTTTCCTTTAGGCAAAATCACTGTCATGTAATCCCACACAGATGAGAATTATCCATGTAAATTGATATTTAGAAAAATATTGCATAATTCTCATAACTTGGTTCATTAATAGCCCTCAGTTTTACAGTGTTTTAAAGTAATAACTAGCTCAAATTCTCTTTTTTTTTTCTATTTAGGTTATTTAAATTTGTGATTGACTCAGTTGGTCAATCATCTTTAATCTTTAATCTTTGTGTCAGCAGTCTGTCCATGTTTTATGAGTGTCTGATTGTGGGTAGGGCTCAATATTAGTACAGAGTGTGGCACATAGATCAGAGGGTGGGTATTGTGCCTCTCACTAATACATTTGAGTTGAGGTTGTTAGTTCCTTATTCCATATTTTTATAGTGGGCGTTACACAGAAGGAAACCTTCATAGGAATGATGACTAACTGTAGAAGTCACCAAGTGAAAATAAGTAAAGGAATTTGGAATAGTTAGCTTAAAGAGAAGAATTAGTGGGCTGGGGATGTGGCTCAAGCGGTAGCGCACTCGCCTGGCATACGTGCGGCCTGGGTTCGATCCTCAGCACCAATACAAAAAAGATGTTGTGTCTGCCAAAAACTAAAAAATAAATATTAAAATTCTCTCTCTCTCTCTCTCTCTCTCTCTCTCTCTCTCTCTCTTTAAAAAAAAGAGAAGAATTAGTAAATATATTTTTAAAATATCCATTGAATTTTGGAGAAATATTGAATATTCTCTGTGGTTTCTTAAAATAAAACTTAGGCAATGGGAAGAAGTTTGAGGATGCAGATTTCAGTTTTCAAAAGCAATGCATATCTGTCTTGAAATTGGGGTGGGATATTTCTTTCTTTTTTTTTTTTAAGATGTTGATGGACCTTCATTTTATCTATCTATATCTATCTATCTATCTATCTATTTTATTTATTTATGGCACTGAGATCGAATGCTCACACTGGTAGGCAAACGCTCTACCACTGAGCCACAACCCCAGCCCTGGGGTGGGATATTTCATGAAGAGATATGATTATTCTCATGGATCTGACAAGGACATTTTTGAGGGTTTTTTTTTTTCTTTCCCTGCTTTGATTGGCATTAGATGACCTCTTAAATTTCTGTTTTAATCCCAAACCTCAGTTAATACAAGGAAGTCCTTTTAGTGGTTTCTAGGTGTATTTTACTGTTTATGTTCCCAGGTTAAGTTCTTGATGGCAGTGTTTTTTTTTTTTATCAATTTTTCAATTATCAGTTTTCTTTTATCAGTTATTTTCTTAATTACATTTTTCTTTCTCCTTTTTTAAATGAAACATAATGTACACAAAGAGCATATAAAACATAGATGTAATATAATGGATAATTACATTACCCAAGTCATGAAATCGAGTATGAGTCTGTACTTCCAAAGTCCTGTATGTGCCCCTTTTAGTCATCTCTCATTTTCTCTCCTTGAATTTTACTATAGTATTACGGTGCATCCTCTTTGCTATGATTATGGAGTCATTGTTTGACTCCAAGTTTTATTCTCTGTAGAACTGCCATTCTTCCCTCCTATCTTTAGTGTTTTTTCTGTGTGTCTTACTGCACAGATTATCCTACCTGCAACAGGCCAGCAGAGGACTGTTGTTCAAAAAGTGTGATGATAGCACAGCATATCTGTTCATGGAAGATTAAGGAAAAACAAATACAACTTACTTTTTACATCTACATTTCAAAACAGATGTTTGATCACCTAAAATACATGTTGGCAGAGGGTATTACTATTGTCTTTTGATGTTTTTAAAAAGAGGACTGAGACACAGTTATGTAAATTGAGGACCAAAACTGTATCCCTTCTCTTATGTTCTTATAAGTAAGGAGTGTGTGTGTCTTGCAGAAAAATGAGTGGTCTATATTTGGGGCTTGCTTTAGGTTTGAATTACAGATTTGCATGTCAGACCACTTTCTAGGAGCTATTCAGTAATAAAATATTTTTAGCCATGACAATGAGTCAAAATAGACTTTTAACTAAGGTATTTTCTCTTTCATTCACCGACATCTTTTTTTAGTGTAGACAGATGATTAAAATATTTTATTTTTCACTCAGAAATATGTACTTAAATAATTCAATTCATTTTATTAAACACTGATTTCAATTTTAAGGTAAAATATGTAAATTGTTTTGAGGTATTTGGTTTTTTTCCCCTGTTTGACAAATTAAATGAATTACTAGGCTTTTGTTTATTTATAGGTTATCAGAAGGTTAAGAGAAAGAGGAGAACCAATTAGACTATTTGGAGAAACTGATTATGATGCTTTTCAACGTTTAAGAAAAATAGAGATCCTCACACCAGAAGTTAATAAGGTAAGAAGTCAGAATAAAGTTAGAAAAATACAACTGTCTAGAATAGTTTGGAGTTTGACTAATTGTGTTACTATATGTAAAAAATTGAAAAATACAGTTGCTTCTGATGCTGTTTACTTTCATAAAAATGTATGTAACTTGCATATAGTTTAGTGCATTTTGACAAATACAAGTATATAACCCTACCCTTATCATGATATAGAATATTTCTATCACCTCAGAAAGTTCTCCAGTGCCCCTTCATAGCCAATCCCCATATCTCTCCTCCACTTCCAGGAAGCCACCTTTTGAATTCTGTCACCTTTATTTATTTGACTTGGTCTGGTGTCTCATATGGCTAGCCTCAGTGTATATCTGGTTTATCTTGCTCAGTGAAACATTTTTTAGCTTCTCCCATGCTATTGCAGAATTCACTGATTTCCTTTCCATTGCCCAGTGATATTCAGTTATATAAATGTACTATAGTTTGTTTTGAGCTTTGGGCTATAATAAATAAAACTGCTGTGAACATTGATATCTGTATCATATTTGAGCCTATTATTTTTTCTCTTGAGTAAATATGTTTTGTTTCTTTGGGAAATACCTAGAAGTGGAATTGCTAAATAATAAAAATAGATACATGCTTAAGTAAGAAATGCCAGACATTTCTAAATATCATCCTATGGTATTGTTAGTCTTTTTAATTTTAACCATTCTCTTGTATGTGTAGTAGTATCTCATTGTGATTTTATTCATATTTCCCTATTTACTAAGATGATGAATCTCTACTTTTTCATAGACATCCTTCATAGACTTTCTGTAGTATTAGTCATATTCATTGTTAAATTGGATTATCTTTTGCATTTGGGAGTTATTTGTATACTTATAAATTTTGTGACTATTCTCCTAGTCTGTATCTTGTTTTAATCTCTCAATGATGTCTTTACTGAGCAGTTTAAATTTTGATGAAGTGAAATCTATTAGCTTTTCCTTTTATGGTTGTTGTTGTTTTTGTTGTGCTTAAGAAATCTTTGCCTACCCCAAGGTCTCCTTCCTTTGTATTTTCTTTTGGAAGATTAATAGTTTTAGATTTTGATGGAAGCTCTGAGCTTGTTTCATGGCTCAATATGTGGTCCATTCCAGGGACTCTTTAAGAGAGTATGTTTTTTATTTTATTATATATTTCTACAAGTGTCAATTATGATAGTGTTGTTCATATCTTTGTGGCCTCAATAACGTTTTATCAAACTTGCTCTATCAGTTACTGAAAGATGGGTATGGTCATCTATGGCTGTGCAACAGACCATACCCAAACTTAGTCATGTAAAAGAATTTATTAATAGAAAATCTTTTGTTTATCTGTGAGTATAACAAATAACTTAGAAACCTGGTAGTTTAGATAATTTATCATCTCACAGTTTTGTAGTTTGATTGGGTTAGTTGTCTTTCTCTTGGGGTCTTCCATGTGATTGCATTTAGATAAGAGTCATCTGAAATCATCTAAAGACTCCTCTGGACTAATCCTTATGTGCCTGGCATCTCAGATGGAAGGTGAGAATTGTTGGGGCCTAAATGGGCATCTCTTTCTTCATGTAGGTTTCTTTTTGCCAGCTTGGGCTTCATGACTGCTTTCCCTATTTGTTGCCAAACCACCTTCCTGCTTCACTTTTCAACATTGCCATGGCACAAACAGTTGCCTGAACACTTTCAGTCTCTGTCTATAATGATCATTTTTCCTGTGCCTTTTGTTTTTCTCTTGTATGCCTTGGTTGAAACCTTTTGTTTTTTCAGACAAAATTAAAGATTGTTTCTCTTCTTCTAATTAATTAATTAATTAATTGAATTAATTAATTGCTTCCCTCTCTATGCTCCTGTAATAAACTTCTGTTAGTTCACTTACTGTATTTCACTAATATTGGATTATTGTACATATTTATCTTTTCCTGGTTTAATTTTGTTTGCCAAGTCTAGTGTCTTGCATATGTGGTTTTTAGGAAAGAGCATAGGAACAAAAACTCTGGATTCCATTCCTGATTTATAATTATTAATTATTGGGCCACTGACAAGTATTTAATTTACTTGAACCTTAGAGTCCTTATTTATAAATTGAAGGCAGTGATATCTGTTTCACAAGGATGTTGTGAGAATTCAACAAGATAATCATTAGGTACTGGCCTTCTGCATTTTACATAGGAAGTATTTGATGTTTGGTAAATTAAAGAGTTTTGAGTTGAATATTTCTCTTCTATGTTTATGAAAGAACAGTAGAAAATAATCAAATTGCTTGTGATAAACAAAAACTAATATATGTTGGATGCTTACTGTGCTCCAGTGACTGTTGAAAGTGCAGTGTACATTAATTTGCCTATTTATATAACTTGATATTTACAAGGCTTTTGGAACAGTTCTAGTATGTAGTAAATGTTAAATAAAACAAAAAATATTTCTCATGACATCTACATAGTAGATGTTATTGTTCTCATTTTATAGGTACAACAACTGAGGCATACGTGGGTAAAGTAAGTTGTCTAAGAGTAGTAAGCTACAAAGATTTGAAGCCTGATAGACTTCATAACTGTGGCTTTTACACCTCATGGCTGATTTTCATTCACGTTGAGGAAACTGAGGCTTCCATTTTTTATTAAATAGTCACACAGTGAATATACGTGTAATGTGGAATTTGCCAGTTTGCTAGAAATGAAGTTGAGAACCTGACATATAGATGAGATACCAGCTTTATTCTAAATATTTGAGGAGTTCAGAGTAGTTGCAGTGAAGTTGGATGTTTTAAATGAATGGTGGGGACCCCAATGAAGATCTGGTCATTTTCACTAAGACTTGTTAGAAAATTACAGCATTATGAAGATTCTTATTTGAATTTGTTGCTCATGTCTGTTTTATTTTTCTAACCACCAGTTTGGCCATTGTGAATACATTCCTTTAAGTATGTTTGTAAGAATTAACTTTGGAGAATAATGCTAATATTATGCATACTAGTTTTACCAAATTCTTAACTCCTTGTAGGGAGAAAAATGAAATGTACTTCTTATTACTGTAAAATTGAAGGTGAAACATCAGTGAAATTTCATAATGGGTATACTTCCTTTCTCCTCTTTAAAAATTTTTTTTGTCATATATAATATATATTTTTAATAAGAAATATATATTTTAATAAAAAATATATGTATGTATTTAGTTATTGATGGGCCTTTATTTATATTTATTTACATGTGGTACTGAGAATCAAATCCTCAAACATGCTCATCTATTACTGAGGTTATAACCCTAGCCCCCTTTTTCCTCTTTCTTAGGGCTTGAGGAATGATCTGAAAGCAGCTTTGGATAAGATTGATCAACAGTACCTCAATGAAATTGTGGGTGGTCAAGAACCTGGAGAGGAAGATACACAAAATGATTTGAAAGTTCATGAAGAAAACACGACAATTGAAGAGTTAGAGGTAATCTCCACTCCCAGCCCAGCTCATTCCCCATCACTTTTCCTCTGGAGCAGATAGCTAAGTTGATCAGAGAGTTTACTGAAAAGCCACTACCATCTTAGGTCAGTACAAAGGCCCTTCTTTTATTTCATGCTTTTATTCATTTATTCTTCTTTTGCTCATTCTTTATTCATATTCCTCTACTTCCTAACCTCAAAAATTAGTCATTATAATATGTTTGACATGATCTTTACATTTGTTTATGTTCTTGTAAAATCTGCAGTGTGCTATGTATATACATGCACATGCATGCAGACATACATATTTTTGGGGGGTTGACTCCAAGGCCTCATGTATGTAGGGAAGTGCTCTGTCACTAAGCTACATACCCAGGCCGGTTTTTTTTTTTTGGTACCGTGAATTGAACCCAGATGGACTTAAGCCACTGAGCTATCCCCAGTTTTTTTTGTTTTGTTTTGTTTTTGTTGTTTTTAAGAGATAGGGTCTTGCTGAGTTGCAGGGCCTAGATAAGTTGCTGATGCTAGCTGTGCCCAGCTCCTAGGCCTTTTTAAATTTTTATTTTGAGACAATTTCACTAAGTTGCCTAGGCTAGCCTTGAACTTGTGATCCTCTTGCCTTAGCCACCTGAGTAGCTGGGATTACAGGTATCTGACAACATGCCTGGTTATGTCCATATAATTTTTATTTTCGTAAATAATATTGTGTAGTGATAGTCTTATTTTATTCTTTTACTTTTCTTTTTTTCACTTCATGTTGTTTTTGAGATCCATTCTTGATGCTTTAGGTACATTTAGACCTTTGCTTTTAATTGCTGCATATTATGGCAATATTTTACCTTATAATTGTGGATAGCTGGATTGTTCCCAGCTCCTTATTAATCACAAACAACTTTATGATAAGTAGTCTTTAGTACACCACTGTGTACTAAAACAGCATGTAAAAAACATGTCTTAGCTTACAATTTTTTAATGCTTAATAAGAAATAAACTGTTATTTTTCTGTTTCCTTTGTTTCTGGTTCTTGTACCTGTAGTGGTCTCTAAGAGTAAGATTGTAGTAAGATTGATTAAAATTCTCATTTTAATCACTTCTTCCCCATCACCTATGATGGTCCCTAAATTTTACTAAACAATTAATTGATATAGGCAACCATTTGTTAGTTGGACTCACTTGTTCCTTCTTTCCTCCCACCCTCCTTCTTTATCTTTCTTTCTTTTTTGAAGAAAGCTTTATTGAGATATTCACATACTATATGATATACTCATTTAAAGTATATGATTTAGGGGATTTTAATACTGGGTGGTACAACCATTATCACTATCTATTAGAACATTTTTGTTCCTTCCCAAAGAAATGTCATATCCATTAGGAGTCATTGTACTTACCCCGTTGTCTTTTTGTTTTGGCACTGGAGATTGAACTCAGTGACACTTAACCACTCATATGATGGATATGAGCCATCATATCCCCAGGCCTTTTTTGTATTTTATTTAGAGATAGGGTCTCATTGAGTTGTTTAGGGCCTTGCTAAGTTGTTGAGACTGGCTTTGAACCTGTGATCCTTCTGCCTCAGCCTCCTGAGCCAATGGATTACTAGCGTGCACCACCACATGTGATTCTGATTCTTTTTTCTCTCCACCTGTCTTTGGAGTTATAAAAGATATTACAATTTCTCTGTAGAAATGGCAAATCAGTTTTGGGCTTTTTTTTTTCTTTTTAACTAGAAATTTTAATGGATTTTTAAATAAAAATTACACAGAATATGTGATAAAGAGCATTGAATAATATGGTGTTGGTCACATATACACACACCACATTTGAATACATCCATGCAGTTTGCTCTCTGTTTATTAACAGAAGTATCATTTCTTTTTCTTTAGACACTGGGGGAGTCTTTAGGGAAAGGCGATGATCATAAGGACATGGACATCATCACCAAGTTCCTGAAGGTATGTATCACAGGTGAGGGAAAGAGGCATTCGGAATATCAAGAACTGTTCTTCTATTTTTTGAATATCAAAGGTTAAAGGCTAGATAGGGACATTCTCAAAAAACATGAGTGCTTGTGCTATGTTTATGACATCACTTTACACTTGTATATAGTGGTTAATGAAAGAAAAAGTGTATTTACTTTCTTTGTGACGCTTTTCTCAAAAGTTGACTAATTCATATAAACATACACAAAAGAATCCCAACAGTAAAATGAACAAGAAATTCGGAGGAATTACTTATTTTTTTCTTAACGCCCAGGAAGGAGTGCAATGGCAGGGTTCCAGAAGCTTTTATGAGATATCTGTGAAAGTAAGGAAAGGAAGGAAGTGGGAAGACATTGGCAATTCAAAAAGTAAACATATCTATAACCTTCCAGAGTGTTCATTTCTTCCCTTGTACATATAGTTGCCTGTTATTTATTTATTTATTTAAAAAAATTTTTTAAAGATTTTTTTTAAGTTGTAGGTGGACATAATACTTTTATTTATTTATTTATTTATTTTTTATTAGCTACACATGACAGTACAATGATCTTGACAATTCATACATTTGAATCAAATGGGGTATAATTTCTCATTTTTCTGATTGTACAGGTTGCAGAATCACATTGGTCATACAGTCACCTATATACATACAGCAATAATAATGTCTATTTTATTCTGCTGCCTTTCCTATCCCTCCTTCCCTTCCCCTCCCCTCCCAACACTTCTCTCTACCCAATCTAATGTGACACACTTTTTTTTTTTCCTCCTCACAACATCATACATGTATTCTGTATAACGATGAGAGTCTCCTTCCATCTTCCATGCAATTCCCCTTCTCCCTCCTTTTCCCTCCCACCTCTCTTCCCTATTTAGGGTAATCTTCTCATGCTCTTCCTCCCTATCCCATTTTGAGTCAACCCTCTTATATCAGAGAAGACATTCAGCATTTGTTTTTTAGGGATTGGCTAACTTCATTTAGCATAATCTACTCTAATGCCATCCATTTCCCTGCAAATGCCATGATCTTGTTATTTTTTAGTGCCGAGTAATATTCCATTGTGTATAAATGCCACATTTTTTATCCATTCATCTATTGAAGGGCATCTAGGTTGGTTCCACAGTCTAGCTATTGTGAATTGTGCTGCTATAAACATTGATGTGGCTGTGTCCCTGTAGTATGCCCTTTTTAGATCTTTTGAGTATAGTCCTAGAAGGGGAATAGCTGGGTCAAATGATGATTCCATTCCTATCTTTCCAAGGAATCTCCATACTGCTTTCCAAATTGGCTGCACCAATTTGCAGTCCCACCAGCAATGTATGAGTATGCCTCCCCCCCATCCTCTCCAGCACTTATTTTGTTTGACTTCATAATGGCTGCCATTCTTATTGGAGTGAGATGGTATCTTAGAGTAGTTTTAATTTGCATTTCTCTGATTGCTAGAGATGGTGAGCATTTTTTCATGTATTTGTTGATTGATTGTATATCCTCTTCTGAGAAGTGTCTATTCAGGTCCTTGGCCCATTTATTGATTGGGTTATTTGTTTTTTTGTTGTTTAACTTTTTGAGTTCTTTTTATACTCTAGAGATTAGAGCTCTATCTGATGTTTGAGGGGTAAAAATTTGTTCCCAGGATGTAGGCTTCCTATTCACCTCACATATTATTTCTCTTGCTGAGAAAAAACTTTTAGTTTGAATTCGTCCCATTTGTTAATTCTTGGTTTTAACTCTTGTGCTATAGGTGTCTTATTAAGGAATTTGGGGCCTGCCCCCAGTGACGAAGATTAGGGCTAACTTTATCTTCTATTAGACGCAGAGTCTCTGGTTTGATTCCTAGTTCCTTGATCCATTTTCAGTTGACTTTTGTGCATGGTAAGAGAAAGGGATTCAATTTCTTTTTGTTGCATATGGATTTCCAATTCTCCCAGCACCATTTGTTGAAGATGCTATCCTTTCTCCATTGCATGCTTTTAGCACCTTTGTCTAATATAAGGTGTTTGTTATTTTGTGGATTTGTCTCTGTGTCCTCTACTCTGTACCATTGGTCTACCAGCCTGTTTTGGTGCCAGTACCATGCTGTTTTTGTTACTATTGCTCTGTAGTATAGTTTAAAATCTGGTATCGCAATACCACCAGTTTCATTCTTCCTGTTTAGAATTGCTTTAGCTATTCTGGGTCTCTTATTTTTCCAGATGAACTTCATAATTGCTTCTTCTGTTTCTGCAAGGAATGCCATTGGGATTTTGATGGGAATTGCATTGAATCTGTATAGTGCTTTTGGTAATATGGCTATTTTAATAATATTAATTCTGCCCATCCATGAGCAAGGTATATCCTTCCATCTTCTAAGGTCTTCTTCTATTTCTTTCTTTATGGTTCTGTAGTTTTCATTGTATAGATCTTTCACCTCTTTTGTTAGGTTGATTCCCAGGTATTTTATTTTATTTTTTGACACAATACCTTAATTTTCTTATATGGTGCTGAGGATAGAACCCAGTGCCTCACGCATGCTAGGCGAGCACTCTACCTCTGAGCCACAACCCCAGCCCCCGATTGCCTATTTTTTAATTGATTTGCTAATTCTGTCTTTTATATATATATATATATTTAGTTATAGATGGATACAATTTTTATATGGTGCTGGGGATCAAACTCAGTGCCTTATGTGTGCCAGGCAAATGCTGTACCACTGAGCTACAGCTCCAATCCCTTAATTCTATCTTTATTGTAGGTGTTTCTAACTCTGGTTAAGCCTAGTTGTTTTTAATGTTTATTCACAAGCTGTTCAGTTGGAGATTTAAGTATAAAGAATGATTTTACTTGTATTTAGATTTTAAATATATTATTTTGGTCATAAAGATTCTAAAATGTATGGAGGATAGGGCGTGGAATTAGTATGAACAAGTCTTTTATTTTGGAGTGATGGCCTCCCCTTTGTAGGTGTGCATAAAGGAGTATATCCCCCTCAGCCTTCACATTGCATTGGAAGGAGTACCATGTATACGGTCAAACCCAGAGGGGACTAGGTTTGTTTCTGGGGGTGGAGGCAAGAAGTGGGAGGGATGGGTCACAGTCTGCTTTATTTTCATTTCTTTTTTTTCTTCCTTCTTTAGTCAGGTGCTTTAGTGGGACTTTTTTTTTTTTAATTGATTTATTGTCTGTACTGTATAAGTAGTTCAAATAATACAACATACTTGGGAGACTAAGTATCATAGTGCATATGGTCTTATGGATGATTAATCCAACTTGGTCAAATTTTATGTGATAGGTACAATTTTTGCAAATAAAGTAAAAGTTTATTCAAATAATTAGGATTTTTTTTTTTTTTTAATTTCGTACTGGATTGAATTCGTGGGTACTCAACCACTGAGCCACATCCTCAACTCTTTTTTGTATTTTATTTAGAGGCAAGGTCTCACTGAGTTGCTTAGCGCCTCCTTTTGTTGAGACTGGCTTTGAACTCTGGATCCTACTGCCTCAGCCTCAGGAGCCACTGGGATTATAGGCATATGCCATTGCTCCTGTCTAAGAAATTTGATAGTCCTTTTCTTTAAGCAAATGGATTATCTTGAGCTAGGAATATGATACATAGATAAGGGATGTTTGTGACTCACTAAAGATGATACTTTGAAACAAACATGACAAAATAAGCAGAAATAGTTAAACTTTATTTGATAATATTTTAACTAACCAAGGCATTTACTTTAATGATAATGTACTGTTTTTTGTGTTATAGTGCTTTTAAACTCATTAAACCACTAGATGGCATTGTAGTCTCAATTTACTCCTTCTTTCAACAGTTTCTTCTTGGTGTTTGGGCTAAGGAATTGAATGCCAGAGAAGATTATGTGAAACGCAGTGTTCAGGGTAAACTGAACAGTGCTACTCAGAAGCAGACTGAGTCCTATCTCAGACCACTTTTCAGAAAACTCCGGAAAAGGGTAAGGTTTCTCGGGAAATGCTTTTATTAACTGACTTTGAAAATTAGAAGATAGAGATTTAGAATAACTATTACTTGTTTTTCACTAAATAGTAGCTGCTAAAATTAGTTATGCTTTTTTTCTTTTCCAGAATCTTCCTGCTGACATTAAAGAATCAATAACAGATATTATTAAATTCATGTTGCAGAGGGAATATGTAAAGGTATATTATGCTGTCAATTGAAATTATTATGAATATATTTAGGTTATGTACATAATGTTTATTTGAGATGGGGGGATTTTGCATAGTATGGTTTAGAATAAATGTGAAGTGAGCTAGTAGTAAAAATAGTTTTGTTTTCCATTGTTTTCTCAGCATTATTGTTAGACATCAAATAAACCACAGGCCACAAAATGTATATTCTCAGTCATTGTTAAAGTAGATTGAAAGGTTCTGCAGACCATGAGTTTTGTATAGGCAGTGTTCATTTTATGAATGAGATTGTATTTCAAGGTTTATAAATGGGTCAATTGTTTGGAAGAATTTTTTTTTTCCATAGAAACAATGTTTTATAGATTAGTTTCCCAGATCAGCTATAAAGGCCTATTTAAACTTTAATGTAGCTGAACTATTGTACTGATGATACAATGGAATTTAACTATTCTTTGTAATTATTTCTATGGGGAAATGGTCCAGAAAAAGCTGTCGGGATTCCTCTCTCTCATTTCAGTAGTGCAATAATAGCCAACTTCTTGCAGAGGAAGGCTGTCTTCCTTCACTGCAATGTCTTTACTCCTGAATGGACTCTGGGAGGAAGTCGTGGCAGGAAAGCACTTTGATGTGAGGGACTCCTGGGAGAGAATTAGAAGGAGAAAGTAGAGGGCAGTCAGTTGCAAGAAGGCAACAAGGAGAGAAAGGCCCTGTGCACTTGTACTGCGTATTGGAGATGTGACAGGTGTAAGGAGGGCTGCTTCTTGTGACTGCCTCCCAGGAGGCTAGGAGTAGAGGAGCAATCCCAGTAGTAATACCAGAGAACTGGAAAAGGAAAGAGGGGACTGCTGGCATTCCTGGGTGATTGGATGATTTTCTTTTTTAGAGCTTTAGACTAATAAGGTGTGGTAATATTATTCCTTAAAAGAGCCAGTTCTCTCAAGAAAACTTTTTTTGGTGAGTTGTGGTTAGAAATTTCATTCTTAGTTTATATCATTTGCATGATTCCTACTAAGAATGATTTAATTGGAATGGATGGATAAGGTCAACATCATTGCAGAAAGTATTCATATCACCTGCTTGCTGAAGTGATGCCTTCATGTCTCTTGTAATCTTTTTCTCATGATTATATATCAGAAACAGGTAAAAACTTGTTTATTTAGTCTACAGAAAGAATCAAGAAATTTTAATAATGTATTTGGACAGTTTTTTTTGTAACTTTAGGGAAACTGAGTATTGGAATTATCATCAATTAAGGTCCAGTGTTAAAATTTACACATGATTATCAGTGATAAATATGTGCATATGTGCCATTAAAATTAAGTTTTATAAAATCTATTTAGCAAAGCAAATTTGGATTTATCTTTATGGTATTTAGTTAACCTATCTTATAGTACTGAATTTTTTAAAACTCAATTTTTTAAAACTCATAGATATTTGATTTTTGAAATTAAAATCTCTTTGAGGCCTGCTTAGAAATCCTCAGGGTTTTTTAGAATTTACTTGCTTTTGGCTTGATTTTTTAAAAAGAGCCATTTGCATTGGTTTCTAGCTTCACTTTTTATAGCTTTTATTTTAAGGTTCTTGGTAAGTGGGAGATTTGTGAGGCCAAAGAGATGAACCAATCTTTTCCTTCAGCTCTTTGACTTGAGGGCCAGAATTCAGACTCGGTTTACACAGAGTTATGGATCCTGAGTAGTCATCCCAGCATATAGAACACCCCTCTCCCTTCTGACAGTGTATAATGAATGCTGTGAAGTGATTAGGTATGATTTCAGGTGGGATAAGGAATAAGTTTTATCCATCAGTGGAGAGAACTAGGTTTAAGACCCAACCTAGAGTTACAGTACATCAAATTAACTACCTGCTAATTCCAGATCTGAAATGTATTAAATTCCACTGCCAAAAGGCTGCAAAGGAGTGTTTGTTATTTTCTTTTTTCAAAAGGTACCAGGGATGGAACTTGGGAATATTCTACCACAGAACTACATCCCCACTCCTTTCTGTTTTTTATTTTGGTAATTTGCTGAGGTCTTGAACTTGGAATTCTCCTGCCTCAGCTTTCTAAGTTGCAGAGATTCTAGGCTGTGCCACCATGCCCCACCATTTTTTTTTTTTTTTTTAACAACCTTATCTTTGACTTCTGTTTTTTCATGAGCATTTTTGGTCCTGGGCAGGGCAGGCCCTCACACCATATTTTAATCTCTTACACTTGGACAAGAGGAACATAATATTTTCAACATGTCTCAGGGCTGGCTGAGAATTAGTCATAAAAGGCTGTAAAATACTTGAAATAAGAATTTGGAATAAAAGAGAAAAAATCATGGCATTTGCAGGAAATGGATGGAGTTAGAGAAGATAATGCTAAGTGAAGTTAGCCAGTCCGAAAAAACCAAATGTCGAATGTTTTCTCTGATATAAGAAGGCTGATTCATAGTGGGGTAGTGAGAGGGAGCATGGGAGGAATAGACGAACTCTAGATTGGGCAAAAGTTGAAGGGGAAAGGAGGGGGCATGGGGTTAGAAATGATGATAGAATGTGATGGACATCATTATCCAAAGTACATGTATGAGACACGGATTGGTGTGAATATACTTTGTATACAGCCAGAGATATGAAAAAATGTGCTCTAAAATGTAGTAAGAATTATAATGCATTCCACTGTTATATATAAATTAAAAAATATATTAAAAAAGAATTTGAACCAGTGCAATATTTCTGCCTTTCTGATCTCTTAAACTTCCTTTCAGGCAAATGATGCTTACCTTCAGATGGCCATTGGAAATGCTCCCTGGCCTATTGGTGTCACTATGGTTGGTATCCATGCCAGAACTGGCAGGGAAAAGATTTTTTCTAAGCATGTTGCACATGTTTTAAATGACGAAACTCAACGGAAATATATTCAGGTAAGCTGGATTCTGTAACATTCTTTAATTCCTCAAATTTAAAAGTCTTAAGAGCAAGAAAAAATTTGGAGTAGTACTTCTTACCTGTGGAGATATTTTCCAAGACCCCCTTTGGTTTCCTGAAATCTCATGTAGTATCGAAACCTGTGTTTACCAAGTTTTTTTGCTATACACACACACACACACACACACACACACACACACTCCTATAATAAAATTTGATCTATAAATTAGGCAGAGTAGAAATTAACAATAATAATAAAATGGAACAATTGATACCATGCTGTAATGAAAGTTATATGAATGTGGTCCCTGTCTGTCTCTCTCAAAATATTTTATTGGGCTCATTCTTCTTCCTGATGATATGAGAGGTGACATGCCTACGTGGTAAGATGAAGTGAGGTGGATGATGTAAGCATTGTGACTCAGCAGTAGGCTACTGTTGACCTTCTGACAATATTTCAGGATAATCTCAAGCCATAAAGATACAGGTTGACTGTGGGCAGCTAGAACTGCAGAAAGCAACACGGCACATGAGGGAGGACTGCTGTGTACTAAATAGGACATAGCACAGCAGGATAGAAGTTCACACCTGACAACCACTAGTGGTTAAGGCCTTCACCTTCACTAAATAAATTGAAAACCTGCATATATTATGGAAGACAGGGTAAAGTGTCCGTTTTAATTGCCTTATCACTGAAATCTAATTATTACAGATAGCTTTTTTCTTAAAGACTACTTTTTATAAGTTTAACTTATATAAGCAAGTTAAATGAGCTCATCAGATAAATTTATGAATTTAGTAAAAAGCAACAAATTTAGAGTATTTTATACTAAATCCTGCTTTGTTTCTTTTAAAATGGATATACTATCTACTAGGTTGAAGTGATATGGAGAATATGGACTTGGCTTTAATGCATAGAGTCATTTTTAAGTAGCATAGAATGAAGCTTCCATAATTGTGTGACAAGATCTAAAGTGTTCTAGTTATTTTAAAGTTATACATGCTTCATATAAACTTGTTGGCTTTGTTGTTGGGCTAAACTTCTCTTTGGGAAAAAAAAATCAATTTAATCTAGCTTTGCCAAATTATCATAAATTGCAGATTGTGTCTGTATAATGATTTGTGCGGATGGAAATTCTAAAACTTGAAGTTGATACTGTGAAAATTTACTTAAAATTTAAAGTTCACTTAAAATGCATAAAATGCTTTCAGATTTTATGCCAGAGAGGTTATTACCATATTCATGAATTAGCTTATTGTTTGTATTTCAGTTCCAAGTGCTGAAATTTAATTTGTGTGTCATGCTTTATGCCTTATTCACATATATTAGCATTTAAAAAAAATGATCTCAACCTAACTCTTGAATGTGAATTGTAGACTTTATAAAGTTCAAATATACTTGTGCAAATTCAAGCACATTTCTATTTCTTAATAACTACCAGTGACAGGATTAAAGGCAAAATCTTTTAGTTACAAAAGAAGTTGTTTGGTTTTAACAATAGAATACAGTTTCAAGGATTAAATTTGCTAATTGTGTTCATCTGGACTGTGGTTAGAGCTGTAATGTATAAATGTTTATGTAATTAGATAAATTTTTTTAAGGACAGCATATTCTTTTTGTATCCAATGGTATAATTTTCACTTTAAAAATATACCTAGCATTTAAGAATATTTTTGATTTTTTTTGGAATCTGTGAAATTACCTGTCCTCCTGCCATTTTTTTCTTTTTAAATTAATGTTCTTAGGTATTTGTATTGAAGACACCTTCATTGAATAAAATAAAACCTTATGATTTTCATGTATGATGGAAGACAAGGTGAAGTGTTTTACTTTAATTACTTTGGCACTGAAATAAAACTGTTATAGCTTGCTTCTTTTTTTTTTTTTAAAGACTTATATAAAATATTTTTTAAGAATCTTTATTCCCCAAGGTGATTGGGGGAATGTGGGTGAGCACACTGTATCTGAAATTTAGCAAGGCATAATGTAGACCCAGTAATACTTGTGCTGACACAGTCAGATGGACTGATAGCTTGTTGAGTGAGCTAAGTCTAGAACACTAAATAGTAGATCCATGTCTCCTTGGGCACCTGCTGGTAACATGTCACAGAGTTCTTGGAAACCTTAATACAGTTAAGCATTGTTATGACTGAGTTGGATTACTATATAGAGGGGTAGATTTATCAGATTTGCTGACAACAGAAAATTAGAAGATACAGGGAGTGTGTTAGGTAGAAAAGAAATTAATATTCCAGAAATTCTTGACAGATTGGAGAGAATGGTGGATTCTAAAATTTGGATTCAATAATCCATTTGCTTAAGTATACAGTTTAAGTAGTGAATATAAGAAAAAACTCAGAGTTTAGTGGACTAAAGTTTGTACAGTAAATGAGTAGTATGATATAGCCACCAAAAAGGCTAATAGTAGCTTATGCTGTAGGTTCCACAGGTTTACATGGTAATCTGAGTCTAGAACAGTACCTAATTAATAATGTGCACTCAAGAAATATTTGCTGATTGAATGAGAACTGTAGAACAAGAGAGTTGATCGTCTTGTTCATTTTCTAGTACTTGAGGAAGGTGACTTAGTAAAAATCTCTGTACAAGATTCATGATAACCATCTGGTAGAAGAGGATTAAGATTCTCCTTACAGCTAAAAACCAATTAAGTTATACAAAGACAGATGTTTACTTAGTATAAATAGCTTTAAAAAAAAACTTTGTTTTGAAATAATTGTAGACTCAAAGAAGTTGCAACAGTAGTATGAAGAAGATTTTTAACAGGCAAAATTGCCCCACAGTGGGAGTAGGGCTGTGTAGAAGATAGGGGAGATTTCTGCCACTTGATGTTTGCAAGCATTGAATTAATTGTTGGCCGTTTGAACCTTCTGGCTCTTACAACTCTCTTGATTTTTCTCTGCCATTTTCCCTGGAGGCTGGCGATTAAGCCTATGCTTGTAACTCAGTGCGCACAATAGTCAGGCAGCAAGGGAGCTGAGGGTTAAGAAGCCCCTGGACCTCTGCCTAGTTTCTATTTTTTTCTTTTTGTATAGGCACATATAGAAGCAATATTGTATTTCTCATTCAACTCTGCTAGAAGAATATGGACTGTGCAAGTTCAGTGCTAAGTCAGTTGATGCTGAGCTTCTCTGTTCCTGTTTATATGTCATCTTATAAGAATATGATTCTAATATTGTTAGATATTTGTTTTCTTTCTAATGAGAAGATGAAATTTTGGATTTTTACAAAGTGCACTTTCCTATTTTTGAAATGTTGGCAGATTTTAAAAAATGCAAATTGTATAAAACTTAACAGAATGCTAACTTGTAATCAGGGTCTTAAACTCATAGTGCAGGTCAAGCAAAAGGGTGCTGCGCCCCTATGACCTCTGTTAACTAAGCACTTTATTAAGATGTCTCATTGATCTTCCTCTTGATACTTTGTATTCATGTGAGGTTGATCTTAATTATCCTACAAAAGGGACAATTTAGATACATCAGTTGAATCTTAAATTTGAGTTTGGCAAACTTTTTTATAAAGGATCAGAGAGTAAATATCTTAGTTGTTGTGCTTCCTAAGGTCTCTTGTTGCAACTATTGAATGCTGCAGCAATAATGCAAAAAGAGCCAGTGGCTGTTGTAGTTAAAAAGAGTTGAATGGCAATGTGTGGATAAAAATTGCTGACTCCTAGTAAATGCATAAATTCAAATCTCTTTTGTTAAGATATTTGCTAAAGAGGTCATTGTGAAAATCATTTTAATAGAATAATTATTTCTTTTAAGTTGAGGAATATCTGAACAAATACTGTAGTGCTTAAAATGAACTCACCTAAATTTTTTAGCCCAATGAGTCTTGATATATGTGTAAATATGTACCAAATAAAACAAGACAGTTCCAGAACATTTCCAGCAGCATTCAGCAGGTTTCCTTCAGCCTCAGCCTGCTTCTGCTCATCAGAAGGTAGTCGCTATTCTGACTTGTGTCATTATTGGTAAGTTTCATCTATTCTTGGACATCGTGTAAATGGAAACTTGGAATGTGTAGAATAATTATTTTTATTTGAAATACTAGTAATATCCATTTTATGGAATACCGTAGGAAACAATTTAGAAACTCTCACTGGAACCTGATTTCATCTATGGTTCTTATGCAGATCTCTCACTGGAACCTGATTTCATCTATGGTTCTTATGCAGATCTCCACAGTTTAAACTGGGTGTTTGAAGTGTTTGCTTCCTCGCAAAAATTGATTGCACAACAGAGACGGTTTTCTTATTATGCAGATTGAAGGAAAGTTGTGTAGCTTATTAGCTCACCTGAAGGCTAGGGTTACATTTAAATAGGTGGTAATAATTTCAAGACTTATGGCTCAGATTTGGGGAGAACTTGTTTTACATAGATTATAAGATGATTTTGATGATTTAGAGATTATAATTCAGTCATTTCTAGACATCTCCTTTGGTCACTGAAGAAGAGAAGGAAGATAAACAGGAGAAGAAATGTAAGGTAGATGCAGACCAAAGGGCTTGTGGCTCTTCAGAACCCCCTGCTCCCATCCTTGCCTTGTTCCCTGCCCTGGAAACCTGACTTTATGAATATTGACATACTCCCTTGCTGTCTGCCTTCTGATTGGAGCAAGCAGTGAAAAGAGACTGGAAGGTTATTTTGTAGTGGGAGAATGAGTTTGAGGTATCTGTTTCCTTGGTTTTTCTCTGTAGAGTTGCCTGTAGAGGTGCTATATTGCCCTCTGTCCAAGGCCATTACTTCTCTTAGGTCTGTCTCTATATGATGACCCTGTCTGGGTTTTAGTAATCACTCACTTCCCTTGCCCCTTTAGAATTCAGGCTGGCCACAGCTTCTTAAGATGACCAGCTCTGGAGTTCTGTACTATCCCTTGTTGACCCTAAGTCCTATCTACTCCTTTGTAAAGTCCTTGGAACGACATCCATCAAATTAACCAGTTTCAGTGTACCCTTTGTTTCCTGCCAGTGTCTTCTCTGATATATATAAATGTGCACTGTGTTATATACAGATTCGTGTTGAGGATTAGAATATTAAGGAATAATGTTCATTCCAAATAATTTTATTAAGTTTTTGCCTATAGGAAAAAAAATACCTCTAATATTTTTCTCTGGCAGGTTGTTTTCAGTTACCTTAAATTTGTACATTCCCTAGTAGAGTCAGTATTCTAACATTTTATGTCAGTTATTTCAACCCATATCTCTAGTTTTGGCATATTTCATCTCTACTAATATTTGCTGACTTTATTTGTCCATGAAACATTACAAATTTCTAATATGGATTTGCCAAAATTAGTATAAAAGAAACATTTATATACTGCAAAAGTGATCACAGCTTGGTCTATACATTATTATGTAACATTATGGTTATTAGTAAATGTTCGACAGGCATGGGTATCCAGATTATATATCACACATTTGTAGGTCAAGTGACTGAATGCTACAGCCTGGGATTCTTAGACTGGCAGCAAACACATGCTTGAAATACCAAAAAGATAGATCACCTCTACTATAAAAAGCCTGGTGGTCAAATAAATGAAAATTTTCTTTAAATTAGAGAAAAGATCCTTATAAAGACTCTGCAATTAAAATGCCATTATACCTCTTATTAGCAGTGCTCAGACTAGAAGATAGTATAGAGATAGTATAATAATTTCAAATATAACAACAGAAATGATTTTTAAGAACTCTCTTCCTGTCTGAACCATCAATAAGGCTAAATTTGTGACAGGTATAGTCTCAAAATATGACCTCGAGTACACATTTTGGAATCACCATCACTACTAAGAGTTATATAGTGCTTATATACACATCTAAAAGCATACTCTTTTCCACCTCAGAGCTCTCTTTCCATCTGAACCATCAGTTGACACTTTATGGCAGCAAAATGGATACTACTGTTTTCCTGTTTTACAAGTCGAGAAACTTGAGTCATAGAGTAACAAGTTCTCAAGGTCACATAGATAGTAAGTGTGGAATTGGGCACCAAACTTGGACAGTCTTAACTTCCTTATGGTATGCTGCTTCCCTTAAAGATGTCCTCTACCACAATGAGGGAAATTGATCAAAAGGTCCAGGAATTAAGATCCAGCTCAGAGCAAAGTGAAAGGAATTCCAAGGTCAAAGGTAAATGGATGCTCCAGGATAGTAGCAGTACAAAGAGGTCCAGATTGGAGCAAGCAGACAGAAACTCAAGGGTGGAAATGGAAGATTATGTTACCTGTGATGTTGGATGATATTGAAAGTAGCCCAACTGGTAGAAAATGGATTTGAAAGGCCAAAAAAATTGTGTGTGAGTGTGTGTGTGTGTGTGTGTGTGTGTGTGTGTGTGTGTGTGTCTGTGTGTGTATAAAACCTATGCAAGGAGAGGTCCTCATAATGCACTATTTGAAGGATATTTGTGTAGCCTTTGTGAGGTCAATTCTGAATGTTGATTTTATTCAGAATTGTGGTTTGGGGAGAAGAGACCATGCCTTTAGTTGTGTGCGTACATATGTAAAGCTAATGGACAATGTGTGAGCCAATTAAATTCTCCCACTTCATAATAAAAGACAGTGGGTAATTTTTGAACTGGAAAAGTCCAGTGCTATCAGTATAGAATTAGAAAATGACAGTGAACACCAAAAGAGAGTCTTAAAAGATATGGAAGTGATTGCCTCTGAGGAGCTGGAATTAGGGACTGGAAGGAATCAGACAATTGACTATTATTTGATATAAAAACTGTAGGTTTTTTTTTGTTGTTGTTGTTGTTGTTGTTTTTAAAATGACGTACACATGTACCCTGGAATTATCCTTAGTTTTTCTCTGTCAATGCCCACATCCTATCTTTCCTTAAATCTTGATTGCTAGATATTCAGAGTAGATCTGTAACCTAATCCCTTCTCACTGTCTCCAGTGCTGCCATCCAGGTCCAGCCTACCAGTGGCTGGATTCTTGCAGTGCCTCCTCTCTGGTCCCTGAACTTCTATCATTGCCTCTCTTCAGTCTTTCATCAGCACAGCACCCAGACTGATCCAGTTAAGATGATCAGATTATGTTGCTGTCTTATTCAGGTGTTTTATTATTTCATTGTATAACTATAGCCATGCATTCTGTTCCTCCTACTGGGTCACAGAGTTTTGTTTGTTTTGGTAAGGGATTGAACTCAGAGGCACTCCACCAACTGAGCCATATCCCCAGCCCTATTTTGTATTTTATTTAGAGACAGGGTCTCACTGAGTTGCTTAGCACCTCGCTTTTTTGAGGCTGGCTTTGAACTAGATATCCTGCCTCAGCCTCTTAAGCTGCTGGGATTACAGCTGTGCACCTGGGGCTGGCCTGTTTTTGGTTTTTGTTTTAAAAGCAGGTAAAACCTCAATGGACATATTGAGAGAAGAAAGTGAATTTTGGGAAATTGCTAGTTAAGTATCAGGCAATGGGCCACATATATTTTCATATTCAATATTTAATATTATTTTAGGCCTAAGCATAGCATTTGGCCTCAGGGCAGGACTTCATTGTTTTTCTTATTGTAATGGGAACTGGATGGTTATTAATTTTTGTGAATAAAAGGTTAGAAACCTTAAAATAATTTGTGCTAAAAATTACTTGGCGGGGGGGTCATTAAAATTTTTTTTTGCAATGGGGAGGTACCAGGGATTGAACTCAGGGGCATTTGGCCACTGAGCCACATCCCCAGCCTGATTTTGTATTTTATTTTGAGACAGGGTTTCACTGAGTTGCTTAGTAGCACCTCACTTTGCCGAGGCTAGCTTTGAACTCACAATCCTCCTGCCTAAGCCTCCCAAGCCGCTAGGATTATAGGTGTGCGCCACCACGCCCGGCCTGTTATTGTTTTTAAAAAACTAATATTACTATAGATCCATAGATTTCAATAAGACATTTGAGAGTTTCTCCTTATAAACAGGTAAAATTATAGTTTAATCGGCTTTCCATTGCTGAAAGAATGCCTGAGAAAATCAACTTAGAGGGGGAAAGATTTATTTTGGATCATGGCTTTAGAGGTTTCAGACCAAGGTTGGTTGTCTCCATTGCTTTGGTTGTGAGGTAAGGCAGTGAGAGCTTGTGGCAGAGGCTGCTCACCTCATAGCTGCCTTGAAGGGAGTGGGGAGAGCGCATTGCCATGCACTGGGGACAAGGTTAATACCCTTCAAAGGCACACCCTCAGTGACATCTCTTAGCTAGGCCCTACCTTGAAAAGTTTCCATCACTTCCCTATAATACCACCAGCTGGGGACCACTCCTTCAACACATGAGCCTTTGGAGGTCATCCTAGATCCAGACTATAAACAGATAGATTCTTTGCTGATTGCAAATTCCTCTCAATCAGAGGTGTTCTGTAGAGAGCTCTAAAGTGGCATGTTACAGATTTTTGCCCTTGTCCTTGACTTGTTTGTAAAGGATACTAGAATTTGAGTAATGACTTGGAAGACATTGTTTACTTGGTGCTGGGTAAGAAAGCTGTAAAAACAAAACAAAACCACTTAAAAAACTAAATGTCAACTAAGGGGTTTTAAAGATCAGACTGAAGGATGGGTTCAGAGAGACTGAATAACTGTGGTGCTAGGGACCAAACACAGGGAGGGCCTTAGGCATGCTAGGCAAGTGCGTGAGAATGACATTTAATAATGATTGTTCTTGTATCACTTAAAAAAAATCATTATACAGTTGCACACTGGAGAAGAACTGGCCAAATTGTGAAAGAGACACAAAGTACTTGAATTTTTTGAGATTAATGGTTTATTATAGTTGTCTAAAAAGAGCTCCAGGCCATGGTAACAGATGCCAAAGGGACAGAACAAAGGCCATGCAGTGACTGCTTTTACTAAATTCTGCAGGATTGGTCAGGTCACATTTAAGATATTGTGTTCAGACCTTACTGTTATATTGAAAATATTTTTATCATGTATTATTTTGATGTATAAGAAAGAATACATGTAAAGTATAAATCACAAAGTAAATAATAAAATGACAATTTAAAAATTTTATTCCCAGTTTAAGAATATTCTGAGGGCTGAGGATGTGGCTCAAGCGGTAGCGCACGCGCTCACCTGGCATTCGTGCGGCCTGGGTTCGATCCTCAGCACCACATACAAAGATGTTGTGTCCACCGAAAACTAAAAAATAAATATTAAAAAATTCTCTCTCTCACTCTTTCTTTAAAAAAAAAAAAATTAGAATATTCTGAAGACCATTAAATCTGTATTTTCTTCCTCTGCCCAAGTAGTAGTCTTGAATTTTTTTATTATTTTCTTGCTTTCAAGATAATTCTTCCATGTTATATGTATATTTCTACCTATACCTTTTTTACTTGTTTTTGAATTATATTAAAGTAGTATTATGTTGTATGTAGCCTTCTGCCACTTGCTTTTATATTTGTTGTTGTTTTCTGAGGTTGATGTACCTTGGTCTTTTCCAGCCAGAGGTCCTCATTCAGATCACAGAACAAGGAAATTATTTGAGTGGCTACATTCTTAATTTTCCAAGGATGTTCTATAAGTAGTACACTAAATGTTAGATGTGTTGGAGAGAAGTTATCTCATTACCTTCAAGATTACTTTAGACTGGATGATTGATTGCAACTTTATTTTCTTTTGGAACCTGGTTGAGAAAGTCTGACTTGTTACATGTAGCTAGAGTTAATTCATTTTACTGCTGTAAAATATTCCATTTGTGAGTATATTAAAACTTATTCATATATTCTTATTTGAAAGGAAATTTGGCTTGCTTCTTGTCAAGATGATGTGCTGTGATGAACAATCTTGCACATATCTCTGAGTATGCAAGATAAATATTAGTTATACTTCAAAGTGGAGTTGCTGGGGACTGCTGCATTCTAGTGGGGACATAACTAAAGTGAGACCAGAGGACAGCAATTAGGACTGGTTCCACAATATCATAACCAACATTTATTTCCTTTGTGTTCTTAGGGATTGAAGAGGTTAATGACTATTTGCCAGAAACACTTTCCTACAGATCCATCAAAATGTGTGGAGTACAATGCACTGTGAGACCTATGTTCGATGTGTAAATAACAGTGAGAAACTTAAGGAAGCAGGGTATGGACTCCTCGCATTACCAGCAAGATTGAAGGAAGAAGAAAACTGGAGTTTCTGGTCTCTGAGTTTACCTGATACAATTTGTGATCAGTTTTAAAAACTGTGTTGGCTTTTATATCATGTCTGACTGTAAACTGATTTTTCTGTCTTATTTTTATTTTAAAAAGTTGAAAAATTAGCTGGGCATGGTGTGCACTCCAGTAATCCCACTGCTGTGGGAGGCTGAGGCAGGAGGATTGCAAGTTCAAAGGTAGCCTCAGCAACTTAATGAGGCCCTAAGCAACTTAATGAGACCCTGTCTCAAAATAAAAAATAAAAAGGGCTGGCGATGTGGCTCTGTATTTAAGTGCTGCTGGGTTAAATTCCCAGCACCCCCCCCCCCGAAAAAAAAAGTTGAAAAATTGAATTCTATAAAGTTTTCCCATCATTTAAATGCATAGGCAGCAGTTACATAAGGGGTTTAAAAATGACCTTTTCCTACTAGACCTGAAAATTGTAGTTAGATAATTTAAAAAAAAAATTGAGGATGGACTTAATTTTTCTGTATAATATGATAATTTGCACATTATCTTTTATGTGTGTTATAGAAAATATTTTATATATTTCATTAAAAATATTAGACCATTCAATGGACTGTTAAAGGTTTCTGAACTTTTGTCATCTTGCAATAGAATATGAATGTAAATGTTCTTACTGTTAACTAAAGTGTTATTTTTCTTGTGTTTCAAAGCTTGCTTTTATTTTCTAAGGAGTATACTTTTGTCATTTCTCAGTGCAGCTAGAATTAATAGGAAGTATGAGTTAAAAAACAGTGATAATATATCTTACTAACATAAATGTAAGAAGGCAATGCCCGCGAGCCAAGGTTCAGGGTGAGGGAAAACAGATAACGAAGCCAGCCAAGAGTTGGACTGTGTTCCCAGCTGTGCCCAACCAAACAGGAAGAAAATGCCAAAACTGAACTCACTGCCTTAGCTCTGGTCTTCTACAAAGTGAGGACTTGTTCTAGGTCTTGCACAGTATTATACTTTCATCATTGCAACTGATCATCTGCTTTAGAGTTTAGAGTACCAAGTTAATGAAATAATGTGAGTAAATAGAACGTTACGTAACAGGTGAAATGGATACTGGATAGTGTAAGAATGGGAGTCCCCAAAGTCAGAGCTTCCCAGAATCTCAGCTCTGCCTACTAATAATATGACTTTGGTTAAGTGACTTAATCTTTTTTTTTTTTTTAAAGAGAGAGAGAGAATTTTATTTATTTTTTTAGTTTTTTGGCGGACACAACATCTTTCTTCGTATGTGGTGCTGAGGATCGAACCCAGGTTGCACGCACATCAGACAAGTACGCTACTGCTTGAGCCACATCCCCAGCCCTAAGTGACTTAATCTTGCTAAGCCTCAGCTTCCTTATCTTACAGTGATGGTAATAATAATACATACTTCATTTTCATTATTATTGTCTTAAAGTAAAATAAAATGCTTAGAATACTGCCTGGCAAATAATAAGAGCTCAGTAAATATTAGCTGTTGTGTCATTATTATTGTTATTATGTTGTTATTAGAGGGCAGCTTACGTACCTTCACAAACTCTTTGGTTAGTTGCTGTGTGTACTCATGTCATAGTAATAATGATGGTGTTAACAATAGCAGCAGTAATAATGGAGCCATTGATTAAGTTTTTTCCTGTGTCTGGGCTCCATGACTGATTTTCAGCCAGTTCTGAATTTAAAGTCAGAGGATGAAACCTAGAGGCCACCGAGTTGATGTTAGATTCATATCATTTATTCTGGCCTGCTCTTGAGAAAGATCAAAAGTTGTTTTTGGCCCATTGTGGTCCATGGCTGTGCCTAGACAGGATTGTTTCTGCTGGTTACTTGCCTGGTGATGGTTAAGTCTGCTGTCCTAAGTCAGGGCTGTTTACCCCATCCCCCTGCCTCTTACTTTGGAAGCCTTTTCTTATTATTAAATTAGGTAGAGCTTATGGGAACTTAATAGCACAAGTGAGAAACAGACTTCTATGAGAAGGTTTCAACTTTTTGTATAAGGACTTAACTTAAAAATATTGTTGATGAATACTGCTTAAATTATTTTTTCTTCATTCACAGTTATGCAATAGCTTGGCAGTCACTTAATTTATTGTTGTTGTTCTTTTTCTGATAGTTAATTAAAAAGAAACTAATGTGACACCTATACTTCCTAAAACTGATCAGTGTGGGTAGTTTGGGGAAAAAAGGTAACATATATTCTACAGGCTGTGACTTAACCATTTTGAATATGTTGGAGGATGTTTCAGTGTACTGTCACTGCCCAGCAACAAGAGAGAAGATCCTACTGTGCCGGGTTTCTGTTCTCGCGACTAAAAGGCTCAGGGGTCACTCTAGTTAAACTGGGCTAACTGGGCTGCATGAAATAACCACACAAGAGACAAATACCTTTTTCTTTGGGGTTGCTGTGGCAGCTCCTCTGACCTTAAGGGTCCGCAGAAAGAGAGAGAGCGAGAATACGTGCTGACCCCTTTTATTGAGGAGAAGCTATTCAAATGAGGCAAGGGGTCAGGTTTCAGGGGCTGAGTCTATCTTCATGATGGCCCCTGTCAGCAGGTTGACTGACACCTGGGTAGGCCACACCCAAGGGCACAGTAAGAGGAGGGGACACACACAAGGCACTTCCATGGAAGATTCTATCCTAAACAGGGCAAGGGGTTATATTACAAAGGAACAGGTGAGCATAGCTTCACCCATGGGGCTGTAGCAAGACACACCCATTTCTGTGACTGAGCGCCTCAGCACCCAGCTGGGGAGTATAACTCAGTCACCCATAAGGTTGGCCTCCCACACTACTGCAAATGGTTGGCCTGGAAAAAGATCCAAATTCAGATTCAAATTATGGTTTCTACTGAATGCTTATTGCTTTTACACACTGGTAAAATTGAAAAACTGTTAAGTCAAACCATTATAAGTCAGGGACCATCTGTATTGAGTTTCCTTAGGAGTGTCATTGTCACTGAAGACAACAGTATTTTTTAGCACTGGAACAGAGAGACTTCAGAAATCTGGAAGTCATAGATATAATTTCAGTCTTGGGGGGAAATTAGGAAAGTAAAGCTGAGGCCAAAGAATTGACACAGAGGGAGAGACTCAGGATAGTCCGGATCTTGTAGGAAGGAAGGAAAGGCCCTGAGAGACCAGAGTGAAGCAAGCAGTTGTCACTAATAACAGAATTTCTTGTTGTGGGCCCTGAATGCTCAGGGAGAACCTGGAGGACTGGGAAATAGGATTGATAGTAGTATGACTCCTTGTTGTTAAGCTCATCCTTCTGTTGATTTCCTGATATACTCCAGTACCTTAAGCACTCTGGGATTTGATCTCAGTAAGTAACTTAGAAATGCAATTGTCTTTTTTGTTTTGGAGACAAAGGAAACGGCTTGGAAAAGATTAAAAAAGTGTTTCAGGGTCTTTGGAAGTTTTGAATTTGGAGATTCATGTCACTGGCTCTTTTCCGGCCACACAGTACTCCCGTTAGTGCTCCTTACCAAGAAGAGTAGTAGTGCTAAGTGGGGCTGTTTGAATGAAGGAGTTGAGTTTTAAGTTTCTTTTGTCTGAATATCTCCAGGAGCACAACTGGAGATATGCCTCCTCCCTGCCCCAGTATACTCCCATGAAGTCCAGAAAGCACAACTTTATCCCATAGAAATTTCTGGTATGGTATCATATTGGGAGTCTTGAGCCGAAAAGCACTTTCTCACAGCATATTGATATAAGAGTTTCCAGCTGTCCAGTGAGCCAGAGCCAACACTGGTCCCCAGGGAGTCGCTATGGGAACACTGTAATGGCAACTGGTTTTCATCACAGACTGCAGTTCCATTGGCTGAATTATAACCACATGCTAGTACTTTAATGGTTAACAGTAACCTTAAAATCTTTTGAAATTTAAAAATAAGTTCTGGTGATGTGGAATAACTAGGGGATGCACTGTGTCTGGCAGCAGCAGCTGTGGTATGAGCTGGCTCCATTCAAGGTTTTGGAACCATGCCCATTTAAAAAAAATGTTTTTTACATCAGCCAAAGTCATTTATTATGAAATCATTTACTATTTATTTTTTTTCCCCATTATAAACCAGAGTAGCTTATACAGCATGCTTAAATTAATCTTTGCATTGCTGATATGGTAACTGTGTATAACTAGGCCACTTCCTTTTGTTTAGTTTCTTGCCTATCCTTAAGTACTAACTTTGAATTAATTGTCAGACTTGTCAACGTTTTCTCACAGCATTTGACCTTAACATATAACTTCACCAGGACAGTAGCTCAGAAGTTTTTTGAGTCTTCTGCTGAGCTCAGATTCACTCACCAAGCGTCTTGTGTCATTGTCGAGTCATTCCCACAATCTGCCCTCCTGTCCTTTCTGAACTCCAGTTTTTCAGCCTGCCAAAATCAAATCCCCTTTGCCCTCAAACTATGCTTCCTTTAAGACTTAGGAAACATTATGAGCCATGAATGTTGCAGTCTGAGCCTGGATTGAACTTTCTGTTCTCCTGTGACACAGGGGAGTTAGAGTTGTAGCTCTTGAGATTTTTTTGACCATAATTCACAGCAGTCAATAGTGATGGAGGCGTAGTATCCCATATACACGTACATACATAACTGAAACAAAAGCACTTTCCACCATGTGTAAGGCATTCTTGTACTTTTTTATTCTTGTACTTTTCTATTAGATGTTTGTAAACCTCTAAATCAGTTTACGACCTTTTAATGCATCATGACCAGTAGTTAAAAAACCACTGATTAGGGCTGGGGATGTGGCTCAAGCGGTAGTGCGCTCGCCTGGCATGCGTGGGGCCCGGGTTCGATCCTCAGCACCACATACAAAACAAAGATGTTGTGTCCACCGAAAACTAAAAAATATATATTAAAATTCTCTCTCTCTCTCTCTGTCTCTCTTAAAAAAAAAACAACACTGATTAAGAGGAAGTATCAGCAAAGTTAAGGAAGGAAATTACTTGTTAGATGAATACAGGTAAAAATAAAAGGGATTCTTTAGTATAGAAATAACACTTGGCTCTTAAGGCTAGTGTGAAATTTAGCAGATGATAAAACCTTGAGTACTCCAAATACTAAGAACTTCTGAAGCAGTAATTCTTAAGTCTAAATTGAGAAGACTTGTCCATAGAATAACAAAGGCAGCTAATAAGCCATCTGTGGGGGATAGACAGCATAGTTGAGCTGTTGGGTAAAGCAGGATTAAACAAAATATAAATAAAGTGGAGGCCAGTTAAAGTGTAAGAGGACTGAGGTGGAGATAGATACAAAGAATCTAGCATTATGCCTTTTGAGAGGAAAGTGGTTTGTTCATCCCTTTAAAAATTATTTCCCAAGCTGGGCATGATGACACTGGAATCCCAGTGGCTCAGGAGGCTTGAGAATCTCAAGTTCAAAGCCAGCCTCAGCAATTTAGTTAAACTGTTTCAAAATAAAACATAAAAACGGCTGGGGATGTGGCTCAGTGGGTAAGCCTCCCCGGCTCAATCCTTGATCCTAGATAGATAGATAGATAGATAGATAGATAGATAGATAGATAGATAAAAATAATCCCGAGACCTAGTTAGCACTAGATTACATTTCTTTTTTTAAATTAATTTTTTAATTTATATATGACAGTGGAATGCATTACAATTCATATTATACATTTAGAGTACAAATTTTTCATCTCTATACAAAGCATATTTACATCAATTCGTGTCTTCATACATGTACTTTGGATATGAGGTCCATCACATTCCACCATCATTTCTAACCCCATGCCACCTCCCTTTCTCTCCCACCCCTCTGTCCTATCTAGAGTTTGTCTATTCCTCCTACACTCCCCTTACCTACCCCACTATGAATCAGCCTCCTTATATCAGAGAAAACATTCGGCATTTGTTTTTTTGGGGATTAGCTAACTTCACTTAGCATTATCTTCTCCAACTACATCCATTTACCTGTCTGCCATGATTTTATTCTCTTTAATTACTAAATAATATTCCATTGTGTATATATGCCACATTTTTTTAATCCATTCATCTACTGAAGGGCATCTAGGTTGGTTCCACAGTTTAGCTATTGTGAATTGTACTGCTATAAACATTGATGTGGCTGTACCCCTGTAGTATGCTGTTTTTAAGTCCTTTTGGGTATAGACTGAGGAGAGGGATAACTAGTCAAATGTGGTTCCATTCCAAGTTTTCCAAGGAATCTCCATACTGCTTTCCATATTGGCTGCACCGATTTGCAGTCCCACCAGCAGAGTATGAGTGTACATTTTCCCCCACATCCTCACCAACACTTATTGTTGTTTGTATGCATAATAGCTGCCATTCTGACTGGAGTGAGATGAAATCTTAGAGTAATTTTGATTTGCATTTCTCTAATTATTAGTGATGATGAACATTTTTTCATATATTTTTTGATTGTATATTGTCTTCTGAGAAGTGTCTGTTCAGGTCCTAGGCCCATTTATTGATTGGGTTGATTTTTTTGGTGTCTAGCTTTTTGAGTTCTTTATATACCCTAGAGATTAGTGCTGTGTCTGATGTGTAAGGGATAAAAATTTGCTCTCAAGATGTAGACTCTCTATTCACCTCACAGATTGTTTCTTTTGCTGAGAAGAAACTTTTTAGTTTGAATTCATTCCATTTATTGATTCTTGATTTTAATTCTTGTGCTATAAGAGTCTTATTAAGGAAGTTGGGGTCTAATTGCACATGATGGAGATTGGGGCCTACTTTTTCTTCTATTAGACGCAGGGTCTAATAAATAAATAAATAAGTAAAAATAATCCCAAGACCTAAGTAGCACTAGATTACATTTCTTAATATAAATTTTTAATTCAAGTATAACATGTAAGAGTACCAAAGTAAACTCTCAAAAGTAACCAGTACCCAAATGAGAAAAGATGTTATCAAATCCCCAGAAATCTCTTCTGCCCCTATCTAATCAGTCAGCCATGGACTTGATTTCTAACATCATAATTTAAAAATCTTTATTGCTATATAATTCACATGCCATAATTTTTACCTACTTAAAGCATTCAGTGGCTTTTTGGTAATATTCACAGAGTTGTAGTACTATAGTCACAGTCTTAAGTTTAGAACATTTTTGTCACAAAGAAATCTAATTCCTATTAGTAGCCACTCACTGGGTAAG